GCGCCCAGCAGTCCCGTGCCTCGGTCGCACCTAGTGTGCCAGCAGCGCCGCACCAGGGCACCAGCAGGCCTGGTGCGGGACCGAGTACGATCAGTCCGAGCCAGGGCCCGACCGCCCAGTTCAGCGAACCGGCTGGTTCAGCCGGCGGTTCGAGCCTATTTTTGGTTCGTGAGTTTCGGTCCGAGTTTTATTCCGGACTTTAAGTATTTTTCCGAACCAAACCCGCCAGTTTAAATATTTCAGTTATAAATCCGGACTCATTATATTTTTAAGCGAACCCTTAGCACAATCTAATTCATCCGATAAATGAGCATTTAGAACCGAGTATCTTAGCATAATAATTAAATATTCCGAGCATCATACTTAGCATTATTTTGCTTATATGTTTATGTAGCCTAAGGAGAGTCGAACCTCCGACCGCTACTTCAATTTGAAGCACTTGCGGCAGATTTTCAGTATACCAGGTGGGAGCCTTTACAAGGCGTTACATTGCGCATTTCAGTTATCCTGTATAAGGTACGTGAGTAAGATAGTTACTCGAATGGTCGAATTATCCCGTTCGAGAGATTAATTTTCTCTTAGGTGAGAGGCCTACCTAAGGCCTTCCTAATCCACCTGGTATCCGGCTGGGGCTTCGGCCTCAATGTCTGGATGGTGTGCACACGAGCGGCCGAGGGCCAAGGGTCTTTGACCACAGATTAAGTTCCTGTGCACAGGAGCGGCCAAGGCTGAAGGGTCTTTGACCACAATTTCAGTCCCTGTGAAAATAATGCAAAGAGATATAAACGAGCTAAAATGATGAATATAATTCCAAGAGATGTATATGACTAGGGTATCGAGGACAATCCTTTTCGGTTTTACATAAATTTGACGGATATCAACTACTCGATTAAAAGGCTCGATTAACTAACTCATTTAGCGGTTTTACCTCACTAACTTTCGTAATATGCGGAAAAACATCAATGAGTAAATTAATGAGACAATTAAAACATAGACAATACGTTTCCGAACATGTTTATTCTAAACGAGTCAAGTTCTACCAATTTCTCCCCTCTCGGTTTTGAAATCGATTTTTTAGATTAAAATGATGATCAAGCATTCAATCGTAAAATAAGTAAAACTCGTGAAGGTTGAGTAATTGATATACACATGCGTAAGAACGAACCGAAACGATTATCCCCTAACCCTAGTTGGAAGATTAGTTGTTCATAATAAGTTTAATATAATCATTCACATTAAAACAAGCCATCTTAACATAGATAAAATGAAATAGATAACTTACTTGTAATGAGAAATCCACAAGCGCAAATGCAAACTTAATCCAAGTACAACAATGTCTTCAATACAAACCAAGATACAAACTTAAGAAAAACTTAGGAAAAATGAAGGAAAATCTTGAAGAAGAACTATGGATCAAAGTGTTGGATCCCCATAGATGGAAATGGAGGGTGTTCTTATAGTGTTTAGCCCCAAATTTCAGATGTAAATGCCCCAAAACATGCCCAAAAATCGCCACTATCATCCACTAAGGAGAAAAAGAGGGGAAAAAGCCACAAATTCAGCAAAATCCAGGTCTCGCTGCCCGTGACGAATCTCGCTGCCCATGACGAAGAGCTCCGCGGCCGCGACTTTTGTAGGCATAAAATGACTCGCTGCCCACGACGAATCTCGCTGCCCGCGGTGAAGAAAACTGGACTGCATTGCGCGGCTTTACATTTTGGGCTCGCTTGGGCTCATCCGAACTCGGAATTGAATTCCGTTTTTTGCTATGTGTCACCGACGAACCCCTTAATTCATTTATGCTCTCAAACCAACTTTTCCTGAAAATAATACTCACCCGAAACCTTCAACTTTAAACGGGAAAACACACGGAGAATTGGAAAAACAAACGAAAAACATACAAAGACTCAAAATGAAGGAAAACACACAATAAAACACAAAATGGACTAAAAATGAAAGAAACGATCTTAAACGGGGGAAAAATATAAGCAAAACAATAAAGAAAAAATGCAACAAAAATGGGACAAACAACTCCCCTACACTTAAACCTTTGTTCGTTTCGAACAAAAAAGTACGAAAAGAAAGAAAAGAAAACAAGCAAATGAACATTGATAATAGTTTCAGACAAGACAAGTTTCAAATTAATCAACTTAGTCGAGGAGACTTCCAATGACCAATATAGCATACCTCAATTACAACTCGAATGATACGCTTTGAAAAGACAAACTCTTAAGCACGATAATATAATACATATATGCCTCACTAAGTTTCCTGTATGAATATGAAATGGGGACGCTCAAATTGGTCGTCACTCGAATCAATCATAAGTTTGCCTATCGTTTAACTCTTACTCTAAAACAGTGAAATTCATGCAATAATGAATCATGAGGACTTTTAGGGATGTAACGTAGGCTCTTTGGATAGGGTAGGGAATATATAGGCTAAGTGGCTAAAAATCAAATCAACCCAAGTCACTCACATAGCCATTCTCATGAACTCCTCCGGTTGTCAAGCACCAACCGTTTTCTCCCATATCCTCACAAGTCAAGAACCCTTTGGATATTCTAACTAATCCAGTCGGTCCCCTTTTTTTTTTTTGTGAATGACAACCTTAGGGTGTTTATTTCCATTTGGTTTCATTTCATTTTTCACTTTTTTTTTCATAAATAACTCGACACCAATCACCTCCAATTTTCCACCCGCAACTCCACAATATCATCGTCACGAGGTTATAAAAGAAAGAACATCAATAAGGCTCAAAGGGGGTGACAAGCGAAATTATTTCTACAAAACGATAAGGGAAAGGAAAATACAAAAAATGCCTCAATCACGTTCACATTACACAAATCCAACCGATTCATTTCGGAGTAGACTCAAGGCAAAATCTAACTGATAGCGATTCCGACCAATATCTCACAAGAAACAAGTTAAGGCTCAAACCTCACATAAAGTAAATAAATGTCCAACAAAACGACAGTCAAGTTCACCAAGATAAGCTAGTCATGATCATCATTATATCTCCTCAACTTCATCAACAATTATCAACCAATCTGAAAATCCACCACAATCCATACTCAGAAAAACGCACAACTGACTCAAGATAGGACACAAAATAAAAGCAGAAAATGAAAACAACTTAAAAGAACTAGACCTGGTCAACCATATAGCCATGTAAACACGTAAAAACTCCCCCATACTTAAAATCGGACAATGTCCCCATTGTCGATCCTCAGTGAAAGAGAGTTGTACCACATAATTAACCGACTCCAAAATAAAGCAAACTGTACAAAATAAAAGAGAAAGGGAAAGAAAAACGTTCAAAGCACAGTGACAAGTCATTGTGCGTCTGGTGGTGCTGGTGGAGGGTGGAGGTAGTCAGGCACCGAACAACGGCGAGCGTCTGACAAATCAAATCTCTCGCCCTATTGGGATCGGGGCAGCTTCATCGAACTCGGTTTGGGAGGTGAAGTGTGGTGGTCGGGATGACTTCCCTTTTTGACATGGGCATGGTCCTGCAATGACCTCTTCATGTACTTACGCATACAGGCTTCCTCAGTAAGTTGTTCAATTGCCCAAAGGGATATGCATTCGTCCATAGAATTATCCGGCGGCTCTTGTCTCGTCTCCCGGACGGAAATGGAAATGGACTCACCCAACACCGTCATGGTTAACTCCCCTCTCTTGACATTGATCACCGTGTCCGTGGTCGCCATGAACGGTCGCCTAAGGAGGACAGTGTGCTCTTTCCCATTCGCCCGAACGTCCCCTATGTCAAGGACAACAAAGTCTACGGGGACTATCAACTTCCCCACTCGAACAAGCACATCCTCCACAATTCCATCGGGCTGACGGAGTGAGCGATCGACAAGTTGTAAGTGCATCCAAGTGGGCTTCAAACCCCTAAGATCGAGCTGTCGATAAACGGATAGTGGCATGAGGTTTATTCCGGCTCCTAGATCGAGCATCCCCAAAGCCTCTTTCTCATTTTCGAAAGCAATGTTGATCACGAAGCCTCCGGGATCTATTTCTTTCTTTGGTAAGTGCTGCTAAAAAACACTCGCCGCCTCACAGATGATCACCTCCTCATCATTGTCGAACCGCTTCTTGCTCGTGGCCACTTCCTTTAAGAATCGTGCATGGGCCGGTATTTTCTTCAACACATCGGGAGGAGATAGGTCGATATTGGCCTTAGTCAACATCGCGTGGAGGTCCCGAATCATCGTGCGGTCCTTCTCCTCCAAAAGTCGGCCAGGGAAGGGGAGTCTCTGTAACGCCCCGTTCGTTTATTAGAATTTTTCGGATTTTATATAATTAATTATTTGTCTTGTCTTATTATTATTTGCTCGTCCTTGATATTAATTGCTCGTTTAATTGTTATTAACTGCTCGTCTCTATCTGCTTGTAAATAGTATTGCTATGTGACTTTATATATATATGATCACTATGTGGTTAATTATTATTTATATGTGTTAGAAATATTAGGATTTATTGATTATAACTTTACTAGTTTCGGCGATTTTTCGGTTTAATCGCGTAAACCAAATTTAAATTCGTTTCGTTTCGTTTTCGAACAATTTTAACCCGAACCTCGAATATTCAACATTTCGTCCCATTAAAATGATTTTGACCCAATTTATTTGATATTTCCAGCCCCATTTGTGGTTTAATGTTTTTGGCTCAACCTAATTGTTTTATTCTAGCCCAATTTGAGATTAATCTCCTTGACCAATTATGAGTATTATTTTTGGCCCAATTTGAACAAAAATCCCTTAGCCCATTAATGTCTGCGGCCCTTTATTTTCTTTCCCATGAGATGGGACCGAGTCTTCTTCATTTCCGTTTTTGTTGCGATTTTCCGGTGAAATCTCCCCTACGTCTCAAAATCTCGACTCTCTCTCAACCTAGATAAGAGCAGCGATAATTCCCAATAATTCCCCAAATCCCTTTGTTTGTCGATCATATCGTCCCTAATTTCATTCCCCTCAATCGCTCAAAAATTTTTGCCGTCTCGGCCCACCGTCGAGCAGTTCCCAGCCCTCGCTGGTAAAACCTTGAGCAACGCAGAACTCCGGCGAGCAACACCTCGTCGCTGGCAGTCCATCTTAGCCATTCGTCGGGCAGTAGCTTTTTCCCGTCGCCGAGTTCATCCCCTATTTTTTTTTTTCTTTCTTCAAGCAGAGCAGTAAAGCGGGGTTAATTCGAGCAGTCTCGAACGAGAAAAATCCGCCGCCGGCAGTCCATCTCAGCCGCGCGACTCCTTCAGCAGATCCCGTCCTCCACCATACGCGACTAGCCGCCCTTGCGAGCCCTTTTCGCCGGCGAGCATCACCTCCGTCTGCGACCGCCGGCAACGCCCTAAACACGCGAGCAGAGCCACGCTGCGAGTAAGAAGCATCCCCTGTTCGATTTTCCTTTTTACTGCAGCAGTGCGTGGCTAGCACCAGTCCCCGTTCTCGCGACCTTCGAGCATAGCAGCGGCACCCGTCGGCCTTCGGTTACGGTCCGAACAGCAGCGGCAGCCCTTTCGAGACCCGTGTGAGAATAGTGGCAGCTATTCGAGGCTTTATCGAGCAACCGGAGTCCTCGAATCAGCGGCAAATTGACTCCTTTTCAATGAACAGAGACGACCCCTTCCGACGGGTTTCGCCGTCGACTTCGGGCAGCCATCTCCCCGTCGGCTTCTTTTCCGAGCAGTGAGGCCGACGCTAGGAGATTCTCCTCCCCCTCTTGTACAAATTCCAGCGACCTCCCTCGTGTAGCCCGTGAATATGAACAACCCGACGAAGAACGAATAGCCGCAGCCGAGTAGCAGCGGCGTTCATATGTTTGCAGCTGAGGCGAGTGAGGTCAATGTCTGGGAGCTTTGTGCTGAAATCCGATCCCAACGTCTCCGTGCTTATGGATTCGAAGAGTGGTAATCTCGAATTCCTTTTCCTCTTCGGGTGTTTAGATTCTTGATGTGAATTGCTGGACCCTTTTGAAATCGTGAATGGTATTTTCCGTTATATCAAATGATGGGGCGGTGTATAATGTGTGATATGTCTTGACGTTGGATTGATGTTTTATGTGGAATTATGCGAATTGTGCTCTGTTTTTATTTGAGAAAAGTTTTGTTCTTGCACTATGATCAATTTGTGGTGTAATGAAAATTGATAGTAATTTGGAGTTATGTGTCTTGTCGATGCTATGTTCATGAGTGTATGATTTGGGTTGAAAATTGATTAAAAAACTTCAAGTTAAAGTTGCTGGTTGTGCTCAGTTTTTCGTAATCAAGTAGTTGTTTCCTGGTTAAGTGTTCATCATGCGAATTGTAGTATTTTGAGTTAGGGTTCGGTGAGATTTAGAATTTCGAAATTAGGAGTGGATTTGAATTTATTACGAATTTTGGAAGTTGTACATGCATGCAGTTTTTGTAATTTCGGGCAGATTAGTGGATCATGATGTTGGGCTGTTTTTCATTATCCTAATATAGCAATTTAAAGATGTAATCATCATGAAACTTGTAGTACATGTTATAATCTTTCACTGGGAGTTGAAATCATGCTATTTGGAGTTTTGGTTGATTTTATATGATTTTTTCAAGTTGGAGTTATGCCCAGAATTTTTAAAACAGTGGCTGTGTATATGATTGGAATACATGTTCTGAAATGAGGCCTTTAACGTGATTATTTGTACAAATACTCTTCTTGAAACTTGTAGCTTCCCTTGTGTAGTTTCTGTAGGTTTTGAGTTTGTATGATTGGGAGTTCTGTAACTTGAGTTATTGTTGTTTTAGTGAAGTGCTGTAAATTGATAAATAGTTATGTCGGCAGATTGCTTGACCTAAATGTTTTATGCTTAAACTCGGCTGTAAAGCTATCTTTGGCTTAAGTGATCTAACATGAAAGTTGTGGATATATGTGTTAGCTACTCATTGGTTTTGGAATCACCTGAATAGCATACTTGTAACTCCTATTATGTTGAAAATACTGAGACTATGCGAGTTCGTTGTGCAAACATGTTATTATGAACTACGTGGTTGAGTTATATCGCATGAGTGTGGTCATAAGTGTTCGTGTGTTGGATAGTCTTTCATAGGACTATTTTGTGTAATGTAGGTGTTTGACGAGCTGTGTTCTCGGCCTACCTTTTTCCCTCGATTTTCTGTGACTTCTTTCTACGGATACCAGGTGGGTTTTATTTGAAATTGTTATGCCTTAATTAATTGTTATTGTTGTGGTATGATCAATGTATGCATGTGGACCATGTAGCCTTCGATGTGAGCTGTACCGGCCGTCGAATGGTTATCCCCGTAGCTATGGAACGTACCTTCGGGTAGTCTCCTTTATTATTGTTGGCAGTCAGGGTGTGAACCTTGGCTGGTGATCCTCGTATGTAAGGTCAAGGCGTAAGTTTTGGCATTCGGGGTGGATTATTGCTCCTGCTGGCCGGACACTCGTTGTAAGGCCTTAGATAAGGCGTTCGGTATATAGTTCGGCAGTAGTCTATTGCTATAGGTGTGCACATGAGACTCATTATTGATTATTGATAAGAGATGGGACGATTATTGATTCGTATACATGCTGCGACCATACCTAAATTGTTTGTTGATTATTGAATATTAATTATTGCATAGCGGTGAGCACCTCGATTTTCCTATTGTGCTCACCCCCACCTGCTCTTCATGGATGCAGGTTAGTGTTGCGGGCACGACAGGAGGGATGCGAGTGGTGGTCTTAATAATTGATATTGTTTCCGTCAAAAACTGAATATTGCTATTACTGCTTTCTTTATTATTGATTTCTGGATTATTGATAGGGAGTGTACTCCCTAGGATGATTTGATTATTGGATTGCGAATTTGAGTATTGATAATTGAGTATTGACAATTATTTAAGTATTGGTGAATGATTGAGTATTGAAAATTTGGTTAAGTATTGATAAACCGTTTGAAAATGAGTAACGCCTCAAGTGTTTATTGAGATGAATTTGAAAAATTTATTCTGAATTTCGGCAAATAAAAGTGGGGTGTTACAGTCTCGGTCTGTACGGGTTCGGTGATTTGTGTAAGGTAGGCTCGGGTGGTGGTGTCACCGGGGCTTCTTCTACTCTTTCTTTCTTCCTCGGGATTTCTTTTTCTTCTTCCTCCAAGTCAGGCATAATCACGATCACCGCATTCACATGCTCCGGCTGACTCGGCAACTTTTCCTTGTCTCTCGGCCTTGAAGACCCCGACCCGTGTGGCTAACTGGCCTATTTGTGTCTCTATACGCTTAACGGCCGCCTCTTAGTTCGTCATAAACTGGAGGAACTGTTCCCACCGGTCGTCTGGTATCCCTTGAGGTTGTTGTTGGTGTTGAGGGTAGTTTGGTCTCATGTGTTGTTGAAGAGCGAAGTTGGGACGGTGTTGTTGGGGCTGCTGGGTATTGTTGCTATTGGACCACGAGACGTTGGGGTGATTTCTCCATCCCGGGTTGTATGTGTTCGAGTACGGGTCGTTGGCTGGTCGGTTCTGGTATCCCTGTAAAGTGTTCACATCTGCATAGTGTCCTCCAAAGCTCGGCTCGATAACCGACGGGCATACATCAGAACTGTGTCCCTGAGTTCCACATGCGCCGCACACACTCACAGCCATGGTCTGAACCGGTGAACCTCCTCTGGCATTCAATAGCCGCATCTGCTCCGTGAGCTCTGCTATCTGATGAGCAATCGTATCCCTTCCAGAAGCTATCTCATATACCATCGTCTTCTTTCCTCGACTGCTCTTTTGAGACGAGTTAACACTCATCGTCTCAAAAATCTCCATCACCTCCTCGGCCGTCCTTGCCCCGATGTCTCCACCGGCCGCATTGTCCACCATGTACTGGAGGGAGTCATAGAAGCTGTTCACCAATAAAGCGGGTGGGAAGTTATGGTGTGGGCATTGCCTCTGGAGGTCTTTGAAGCGTTCCCACGCCTCATGAAGTGGCTCATTCGGTTGTTGGGCGAAGGAGACAATTTGCGACTGGAGCTCTTGTGTCTTTTGGTGTGAATAGTACCTTCCGATGAATTTCGAATATACTTCCTTCTAAGTGGTGAGAGAGTCGGGAGCAAGCGTCATAAACCAAGCCTTAGCCCGGTCCTTGAGTGTCTCGGGAAAGCACCTCATTTTCAATTGGTCCTCCGTGAGATTTTGGAGTGGAAAGGTTTGGAGGACATTGTAGAACTCGCGAATGAAACGGAGCGGGTCTTCGTTGGGGAGGCCGTGAAAGGATGGAAGTTGGTTGTAGTGGATGGTCTTGAGCTCATAATTCCGAGCTGCTGGTCCCAAACGAATGCATGAAGTCACCGGCCCAATCGCCGGTTGGGCCAAATCCTGAAGAAGAGACCGCGGGGGGTTGTTCACTTCCTCTCCCTCGATTCGAGCCATACCGCTTTGGTTGTTCGAGTTTGATGATTTGTCGTTCGGAGTGAGTTCACGACCACTCCTAGTACGCATAAACTCAAACAAGAAACGGGTTACGAGCACCAATGATTGACAAAGGAAAGTAAATAGCAAACACCCCAAAATACTAACTAACAATTAGGAAAAACAAAAATAAGAAAACATGAGAAACACGAAAACAACATATCACAAGAAATAAGCGAAATACTAAAACAAATGAATATACGTACGAAATATATCCTAAGCCTTCCCCGGCAACGGCGCCATTTTGTTGTAGTTTATTTTACCAGAGTAGAATCAAAAGATTCGAACACCGGGTCGTGTTCTCAAGGAAGGTTAGCCAGATTATTTTGTACGTTTACTCGATCACAAAAACGAAAATAATCCTACACACTCTAATTCAAGTTGTTGGTTGATTTTTTCTTAATAAATCTTAACTAGAACAATTTAAAATTACAACTTATGAAAATAATGCAAAGAGATATAAATGAGCTGAAATGATGAATATAATTCCAAGAGATGTATATGACTAGGGTATCGGGGACAATCCTTTTCGGTTTTACATAAATTTGACGGATATCAACTACTTGATTAAAAGGCTCGATTAACTAACTCATTTAGCGGTTTTACCTCACTAACTTTCGTAATATGCGGAAAAACATCAATGAGTAAATTAACGAGACAATTAACACATAGACAATACGTTTCCGAACATGTTTATTCTAAACGAGTCAAGTTCTACCAATTTCTCCCCTCTCGGTTTTGAAATCGACTGTTTAGATTAAAATGATGATCAAGCATTCAATCGTAGAATAAGTAAAACTCGTGAAGGTTGAGTAATTGATATACACATACGTAAGAACGAACCGAAACGATTATCCCCTAACCCTAGTTGGAAGATTAGTTGTTCATAATAAGTTTAACATAATCATTCACATTAAAACAAGCCATCTTTAACATAGATAAAATGAAATAGATAACTTACTTGTAATGAGAAATCCACAAGCGCAAATGCAAACTTAATCCAAGTACAACAATGTCTTCAATACAAACCAAGATACAAACTTAAGAAAAACTTAGGAAAAATGAAGGAAAATCTTGAAGAAGAACTATGGATCAAAGTGTTGGATCCCCATAGATGGAAATGGAGGGTGTTCTTATAGTGTTTAGCCCCAAATTTCAGATGTAAATGCCCCAAAACATGCCCAAAAATCGCCACTATCATCCACTAAGGAGAAAAAGAGGGGAAAAAGCCACAAATTCAGCAAAATCCAGGTCTCGCTGCCCGTGACGAATCTCGCTGCCCATGACGAAGAGCTCCGCGGCCGCGACTTTTGTAGGCATAAAATGACTCGCTGCCCACGACGAATCTCGCTGCCCGCGGTGAAGAAAACTGGACTGCATTGCGCGGCTTTACATTTTGGGCTCGCTTGGGCTCATCCGAACTCGGAATTGAATTCCGTTTTTTGCTATGTGTCACCGACGAACCCCTTAATTCATTTATGCTCTCAAACCAACTTTTCCTGAAAATAATACTCACCCGAAACCTTCAACTT